AAAAAGGGCAGGGGCTAGTTGGCCTTTCTTGGGGGCATGAGGAATTCCCCGAGCACTCCGCCTACCCTCTGTTAGGGGCTTTCGCTTTGGGAGCCGATGAGTTGAATTAGGTCTCTCTCTCGCTCTCACTCCCTCTCGCTCCTTTTGTGTTTTCGCTCTTTCTTTGTTTCTCTCCCCCTCTCCCTTCCCCCTCCCTTCCCCCTCCCCCTCACGCCCTCCCCCTCCACCTCTCGTCACACACACACAAATACACACTTTGGGGCTCGCTCGCTCCTCGCTCCTCGCTCCTCGCTCCTCGCTCCTCGCTCCTCGCTCCTCGCTCCTCGCTCCTCGCTCCTCGCTCCTCGCTCCTGGCTCTTGGCTCTTGGCTCTTGGCTCTTGGCTCTTGGCTCTTGGCTCTTGGCTCTTGGCTCTTCGCTCTCGCCTGACCTCACAAGAAACATCAAGAAACTCAAGCTGACACAAATTGATCAAAGGAACTTTGCTCATTTTGGGGGGATCTCGATCAAAGAGTAAAAATCCTTACGGCTTAGATGCCCAATTTAGCCCACATGCGATCAGCCCCCCATGCGCACGAACCAAGGCCTTGTCAGCACGAGCCTCGTAAAGTGCCTGCGTCGGATGGGACAGCGTGTGCGGGTCTCCGACTGGGGCCAGTCTGGGCTTCTCTTGCACCCTTATAAGTCGATGCGTTGAACTACATGCGGGCCATGTAAGCTGCGGCGCTGCTGTTGCTTCGTGGCCCGAGGTTCATTTCCGGCCTAGATGCGATAGACTGTTTACAGGGAAGGGGGAGGGGGGGGGGGCTGATGGTGGACGCGCCCCCGGTCCCTCACAAAACTCAGGCAGAGGAAAACGCCGAAGCCCTCCCAAACCCTCCTTGCAGCCCGGTTGCGGCCCCGTGGTCGGGTGTGCGAACGCCACGGCTGCGTGCCATTAGTGAGCCTCACTGGTACAAAGGGGGCTTGGCCTTTGCTGCACGGCAAGTTGGGTCTTTCAGCAGCTCTCGACTCTTCTCTATAACTACAGCCAATCATCCCCACAATTAGAGCTCTGGGCTGCACACAGCGGCCACCAAACGTCGCATCATCGATTTCCTTTGGCGGAAATTGTCGGGAGCTCTTGGCGGCTCGAACAAAGGGCCTAAGGATCCGTGCCCATATTGGGAAGTTTCAAACTCCACTTGGGGATGCTCTCTTGGAGACTCCTTTCCTGCCCACTCCCACAAGGGCCTTGGGCAGGGTAACTCACAGGGCTTGTCGGTGTTAGGTGGCGTCCGCGTGTGCTTAACCCTCAAACCACTAAACCCATCGCAAAAGAAGCATTGATGACATTACACATAAACCATTTCAACACCCTGAACTCTCAAAGCTGCGCCTGGTCTGGCTCGCCCTCCATCTCTGCCCGCAGTACGGCTCGCAACTCCTGCCAGAAGGAATAGTAATACCTGTCCTCTGCTTGTGCCAATATGTGCCATGCCCCAACAAGTCCGAACCCACCCAAATATCTTCTTTCCCTAGCTTTGACCATTTTGGGGAGTTACACCACCTTACGATAAACGAAAATCTGTGTGGATATTTGTTTGGGGGTACAGTGGGCTATAGTTGGCCGGCGGCGGCGTCGTTACCCAAACTGGGCGAAAGCTTACCTTGTCCTTTTTCAGGCAATGGCAACTTAAACAGTTTAATCAATATAATTGAGTTTAGTATAAATTCTATCTAGCAATGTGTTTTGGGATATATTGGGCTATACGGGGATAAATTCTAAAGATATATTGGGCTACAGTTTGGCTGCGGTGGCGTCATTACCCAAAACGGGCATGCCCTATGCTAACTGTCTAGGGGGTTCAGTGTGCTGGCATGCTTTCTTTTTTGTTTGAGCTTAATTGAGTTGCTTTGCTGTCCAGGCATAGACCATGCTTCCTTCGTAGTAGAATGAAGCACCACCACTTTCTCAATACCTATAATGCAGGTAAGGCACAAGGGCGACGATAGTTTTTGAATTGTGCTGCTTTCCGAATTTGGTTGAGCTCGAGATACGGTGGACCACAGTACAGGACGGAAGGTTGTATGTTTTTTGGAGGGTGTGAAAGCCCTGCAGATAGTTCGGCACACCTGCTCGAACAAATCCGCCGGCCCAGTCTTCTGCGCCTGCTCGGCCGTGGGTGGGCGCCTGCGCATGCTCCCCAAACCCTCAATCACCTTAAAGCCCTCCTTCTTGCCATACCGTTACTCCAAAGCCTTTTCCATACCCACAAAGATAAACATGAAACCAAAGATCCCAAAATTCAAACATTCGCGATGTTGCAGCTCAAGAAGGATGTGGGATAAGACTCACTCACTCGGTCCATACCTTGCGATACGTCCATGCAAGACAAGGTCTCCTAAAAACCGCCAACTTGGGCGTGTGTATACGGGCCAGCCTCCCCAGCAGATGGGGGGAGGGGGGGGAAAGGAATCATTTGCACTGTGTTTACGAAGGAAAACCAGAATTTTCGCCATATTTACATCGGGAAACCTACATTTCAACAGAACAAGAAACCTCCATGTCTTCTTTATGTCCATGGCAAAACCTGGATTTTGTCTTTATGTACATCCGTAAACCTCTATTTGCATAGGATATAAGCCTCCTCTTCGTTCTCTATCTACTTACATCTTTCTAACCTCTATTTTGTCTATATTTACACAGGAAAACCTCATTTTTGTTTGATAAAGAAACCCTTTTTCTTCTGTAGTTTGATACGAAAACCCCATTTCGTTTAAACATATTCGCAGGAAACTCCCCCCCCCCCCATTTGCAAACACAATGCTCGCATCATGGGTTGGGGGAGGGGAGGGGGGCATCCTTGGGCACTTTCCAGCGGTTTAGGTTTGGGTTTAGGGTTTTGGGTCTAAGGTCTAGGGTTTGGTTTCGTTTAGGGTTTATAGAAATTGTATAGGGTTTGGGTCCCTCAGTTTTGACCGAAACGTTTTGACCGAAACTTTTTCTTTTTGCTTTACCCAGAACGGGTTGGGGTTGGAATCCCTTCCAAACACTGATGCGAGCATCAGGCTTGCAAGAAGTGGGAGGGGGGGGGGCCCCCAACCCTACTGCTGTTTTTTAGCCGCAAGTTTGCCAAACCCATGATGCTTGCAAGTGGGGGTGCTGCGCCCCCCCCCCCCCCCTTCCCCAACGCCCACTTGGGCCTGCGCCCCCACCCCCCTCCAACCCCCCCCCCCCCCCCAAACGAGTTTCGAGTTTATCCTAATATGCCTTGAATCAAGCTAGACCGGCCGCCCAGTTGCAGCTCGCGTGGCTCATGTAGAGCTGATGGATTCGGGGTCTGCGTGCTTCGGGGGTGAGCAGCGTTTTTGGTATGGCTAGCATGCTGCTGGCCAGTGTTATGGGCGAACATTCGGGAAGGATGCGGCTGAGCAATGCGACAAAAATGGCATCGTCGAAGCGGCTCAGAGCGTCCGACGTGCCTTGGTCGAGATTCATCCAGTCTTGCCTCAGCAAGAGCTAAACGGCTTGATATGCTTGTAATCCCAAAACGAAACCAAACCCAATCTGGGGAGCTGTATTCTATCTTCATATACACTCACTAAAACTGTTATAAAGAAATCTGGAGCCATCGCCACTGAATTTCCCTGGCATGTCCTCACCTTCCGCTTGTTTGGGAGGTGTGATTGGGGGGCTTAGGGCGTGGGTCGTTGAGGCCGCTTGAGGCTTGAGCTCAGAACTTGGGGCTCGGGCCACTGCCTTTGTTCCCAACAAGTCTGGAGCTTATTTTGTGAAGGACTGAAATCCCCCCCCCAAAAAAAAAAACACGTGCACTTGCTGTCATGGTCTCGCCCAAGGCACACAAAACGCTCGTTAAGAAACTGGGCTGGATGTTGCAACGAGATCGCCCCCAACAAATCCCGGTTCTGTCCTACGGGTAGGATGGGCTCACGTGATCCGGACATTAATGGCAACTTCTAAGCCGTTTGCGGGGGCAGCGCGTTAAGACTTCGAGGATGCCCTAAGCTGGCAACATCGCTTCCTGTAGCTAGATCGATAGAGCGAGCGGCAAGTAGCTAGAACTAGGTCGATACAGAGATAGACATGCAGGTCGACAATTTTCAAACATGTCTCAACTGTGGCACAATGACCTATAACGCAAAATAACTACGCAAGCAGAGGTCTCTGATCCTCCTCTGAGCCGCCACCCGCTCCAGGACCTCCTCGCGCGACGGCGGCGCGCCGCGGCTCGCTGAGGGGGGGGCGATGTAGCCTCCATGGTCAGTCCTTGGGATTTGGGGTTGATGGCAAGCGCTACAAAATGCCCCGATGACAGCTCTCTTACTCTTGGTCCTTTTAGTGAGCTCTTCATTCTGAGGCTTCTGCACATTCAGCGCACCTTTGGCTCAGCCCCGCAATGCCGCAATGGCTTTGGAGACTTTTTTTTGTTCTTTCCAACTCCTTGCCTGGCTCCGAGCCTCTTGCTCGGCAAGGGGTTGAAGGAGAATCTCTGGAGTTCGAGTTCTGGGTTAAGGGAAGCGGTGTAGTTCTATACTTGTTCATCTTCTTACAACCTTACCTTGGCTGAGAGCAACACCCCTGCCTACAGGATGCTGCGGAGCATGGGAAGGGCGGCTTTGCAGGCGCCAGTGACACCCGGTTGATAAACCAAAACCTGCATTGTCCACTTGGTCCACTTCACCTAGCGCTCGAAATTGGCAATGAGCAATTGCTAACGACTTGATGCAAGGTGGCCCCAACTCGACTTTGGGCGATGCAGGATCGAAATCGTCAACCCGAGCGGGCGTATTTCAACACCCATCCTGTCCCAAGACGCGCTGCCCTTGAATTCAAGGAGCCGCTCTCTTCTACAACCTATTCAGAACCTCGAACCCTAGTTTTGCAGAAGCCAGCCAGACACAGGATGCTCTCAGAGCAATCCAAGCGACAAGCAACTTTTGAAGATACAAGCTGATCCGAAAAAAAACTTCTCGAGAGCTCTGGAATGGAGCTTCTCTTTAAACGCACGTCAGGCAAGCGCAGGCATTTCTTCTGCTGCTCGTTACATTGATCTCGTCGTCGCTTTGGAGCAGGAGCTTCTCCCTCTGGCGCTCCTCATCAATCCTGAGTGCTTAGGGCCGGTCATGATGAGGATGTTGAGGTGTAAAGAGCTCTAAGGTTGTGAGGCTGGCCTGGGGCTTCAGAGAACGCTGTCAGTAGGATTTTGGGTTTGCTTGGACCTTTGTGGCTTCAGCAGGACATGAACCGAAATCACCAGAAAAGAGGGTGACAGTAAAGCACCAGCTTGCTACGCCGCCCTTGAACGCGAATTCCTAACACGGGGCCCCTTGCGGCCTCCTTTTCCCAGCCTGGCCAAAGCTGACCGAGCAGCTGTTGGAGGTCTGCTCGGCTGTCACAGCGGTCGCGCAACCATGCAAGGAGGACGTAGACCTTTTCGGGAGTAGGGCAAGGGAGGATATCTTAAAGCCTTGTATGAGGCCATGGATGCCCTCAAAGCCGGGAGAAGTTCTTATGCCACGAAGGAGCGCAGGGAATGAGCAGTCCCACTCCCACAACGGCGGCGCCGGTGATCGTTCCAGCCTCTTCGGGGCAGAGCCGCCCCTCGAAAGACCAAAAGACCCTTATCTGGATATTTGCAGCCGCATTAAGGGCTCATGTGGTCAGTTTGCGATTGGTTCTGGCTTCTAGGGTTTAGGATGGCTGGGATGGATTTCTCGAGGGGGGGGGGGGGTTTGCAAGGATTGTCCGTGCGCCAACTTGAGACCCAACCACCTGCTCAACCCGCCTTCTGTGGATCGTTCCAGTCAAGCACGTCGTAGATTGGGCAGTCGGCAGGGTCATCCTCGGTTTATAGTTCGCAGTGTGCCATCTTGCTGTGGGTGCTGTTGGTGCATGGCACAGCCTGCACAGCCTGAAGACAAGAGTGCCAAAAGAAACCGGGCGACATACCCTTCACACGTCCACGATTTGCCGATGCGCAGCACCTAAGTGTTTCTTGGATCTTGTGCATGCTCAGGCCAACGCAATGGTAGTGAAACTTCTTCAGCTGTGTCACCACTATACCCAACTCAACAACACATTTGCGTGCATTGGCCCGGCAGGACCACAGCCACCCACAGAGACGTCAACGTCCCATGAACTTCCTGGCGAAGCCTCAACCCCCCCCCCCCCCCGAAACCCGGCGGAAAATGCAGAATCTTAGGTTGACGCGCAAAGGAGTGCAGCAGATAGGAAGTAATTGCTGAGAATGGCTGTGCTTGGTCGCTCATCGCGGGGAGAACATTCGAGCCGACAATTTTATGGGCTAAGATATTCGCCTCGGCTTCCTGCCGAGAAGCGTCTGGAACAAGCAGACCCGGATCGGGCCTCCTTCCCCCTAACCCAACCCTTCGCCGAATTTTCTGACGCCACCCCCCCCCCCCCCCCCTGTGGGACCCCCCCCCCATCCCTTGGAGGAGCTGCAAACCGATGCCGTGGAGAGTCCCGCTTGTCCGTGGCTCCTACAGGGGGAGTGCCTCAAAACCCCCCCCCCCCCCCCACCCCCCCCACCCCCCACCCCCCCCCCCACCCCCCCCCACCCACCCCCCCCCACCCCCCCCCCCACCCCCCCCCCACCCCCACCCCCCCCCACCCCCCCCACCCCCCCCCCCCCCCCCCCCCCCCCCCCCCCCCCCCCCCCCCCCCACCCGCTCTGCCCTTCCCTTTTTTTGAGAAACCCTCTTTCCTCCTTTCCTGTCCTGGGGCCGGCCCGGCTGCCGAGGCGGCGCGCGCAAGCGTTTACAATATTACAGCCGAGAGCGGCCGGAGGATTTGGCAGGGAATGTCTACAGTGCAGGCCTGCCTTTGGCAGAGAGGCCACAACATGCTGCCAACCGCAAGTCTGAAGCCAGAGCCAGCCTACATCTGCCTTGAGAACTAAACCTGAGAAGTGAATGGGGGGGAAGCAAACCGGGGTTTGAGCTCTTTGTGTTGTGGCACGCGTGCGTGCGTGGCTTGACAGCCACCACGCCGGATGCTGTCAGGAGCCACGCTTGAATCCGCACGTACGGCCACACTGGTCGGATGGAGAGCGCAACATGGGAATGGATGCAACACGTCTTCGGCATGAGCCACGTGAGCCGAAGACAGAAAGACATCGTTGTCTTCTATGTCAGTTGGTTCATCATGAGTGCAATCCAAACCTGAAGAAAGCTGACGACATAGAGGCATGTTACATTCAACCGAACAGCTGCCATATTGGACAGTCGACAATCGATGTATGGACACGTTCGGTGGTGCTTTCGCAGTCAGCAGGGGCAATCTTATTCCAACTGCGAGCGAAGCACGTGGTGGAGGTAGCTCCACGCCGCGTACAGCACGGCAAAGAGCGTGGTCCAGCCCACATGGGAGCAGGTGAAGGGGACGCGGCAGGCAAAGAACGTCATGAACCTCGGACTTCTGTCAGGAGTTCTGGAGCCCTGAGAAGACCGCAAAGATTGCGAATTCCACACACTTACGAACTTCGGGCTCCGCACATCAACAGTTTCCATAGCCCTCCACAATGAACTCGACTTAGAGCCAACCACTTGAAGCCCTGATGCGTGCAGAATGCTTGGAACCAGCGGCCCTCAACGAAGAAATGGTTTTTCCGGGCGAAGGTGCATCAAGATCCAGTCGATCCCGTGCGCGAACATCGATAAGTAGGAGGGTACTGGCTCCACTCCCGCCCAAACCTGGTCGCGGCTTAGGCGCAGGTAGGAGAGCAAGAAGTATTCAGGTCTTAGTGTGAAGGTCTCTTTGGAGGTCTGCATAGTACGTCATGATGAAAGCAGAGTGCCGGCCGAACACATCAGAAATCTCAAGAACTCCCAAGACCTAACACGCCGGCCGCCCTGTCGGCCGCCCTGCTTGGACTGAGCCAGGCACTATGGGGGCCTTTGAGTTTGAATTATGTAGTTTGGGCAGCTTACATTCCAAAGTCTACAGGGACTATAAAAGGGGCAACATTGGTGCTCATGTAGGCTTTTGTGCAAGCCTCGAGCATGAGGAATGTAGGACTACGTCTTGGTATGGATTCGGAGAGATCTAATTTTTGACATGATGGACCCTTAGTCTGGTGAGAAGTGCTTGTCATGATTTTAATCATCGAATCAACCAGTAGGGAGGTGCAGCCTACTTCTGAGAGCGGCCCCAAACTATAAACACCCACTGCTTGTGAGAGAGGCGGGGGAACAGATGACATACAGGTGACACACATGGGTTCGACAGTGGGCGTGCCGACAACTGGGGCCAAACTGAAGAGGACTTCAGTCCTGTCCAGACGTTAGCAGAAGCATGGCGGCAGCCCAGGGGCGTCCCAAATTGGCGTGAGAAGGGTCCAGTATAGGACGGCGACACCTGCCACATCAGTGGTGCTGGTCGAAGGGGGGATGGCATTCCCTTTTGCACTCCCCTTTGTTGCCTAACCCTTATATAAGCCCTCAATGAAGCAGTCAATGTTGCAACGGTGGCAGGTCACCCATGGACACTGGCTGGGAAATCGAGAAGATGACCATGGAGACGCGAGCGAGGAGCGGCTCGGATTCTTTCTGAAATTCCTGGTTTTCGAGCTTATGGCCTTGACGTGCTTTCTCGCTAAGGCTGGATTAACCTTGTGGGATCTTGAGCATGGGCCAGCACTGTAGGGAACCTCTTGGCTTGCGCTTGCAGGGTTTGTTGATGCTGGGGGTTGCATGCCGAAGTATTACATGTAGAGAATCTAGAAGTTGGGCCTCAGCTTAGTTCAAGGACTCCAGTGCCCAGGCTCCGCATCTTCGTTGGGCTCCGGCGCTTCAGAAGCCATCAGGGCCAAAATGAACATCAGGACCATGTTCCTTTGGGGAGGTGGTGCGAATCGCAGCTTTCTGAGGACATGGCCAGAAAGACATCTCATCCAACAGTCAAGGCTCAAGGTCTCCAGAAACCTCGGGGCTCAAAATGCAAAGAGACAGCAACACGAACCCGATCACACCGACGCTCCGGACCCCGGTGTTGCTTCCTTTCTTCCTTCAACGGCTTGAGCAGTGGAATGCAAAGTGGGTGCCCAGGTTTCGCACATGTCTGCATTATCCTCGAGAGCAGCCAAGGAACAGTGACCATGTCGTGAGAAATATCAAGTAGTACCAGCCGTGCTCGCGAAGGACGATGGCATCCCATGCATGCCTCAAGTGCCATGCGCAAAGAGGCTTTTCAGAGTGGATCATGAGGGCTTTGGCCGGCTTCAGTGAATCTTTACAAACCCTTCGGCCTCGGTCCCCGACTCGCAAAAACAGTTTCTCAAGTCACACAGCCCCTTGAACCAATCCCAAAAACGCCACGGCAGCTCATGCAGGCTCTCAAAGCCCCTCAACTGCCGAGCTGCCAGATCTGGTGGCCCACGAACACGGCGGCCATAAGACCGCGAAAGATGCGGAACATTCCAGGGCTCCTCAGACTGCAGGGGTGTCGGTCTATTCTTCAGAGTGCATCAGAGAAAATGGGGTGGGTTGAAGTAGGACCCCAGCATGCCGGAACACACAGGCTTGCATCTGACTGACGCCCTCTTCAAAGGTTTAGGGTTGCATTGAGTTCTAACTAACACTGAAAACTAACACTCTAACTCACACTCTTAGCCAACTCTAACCAACACTGTAACAAGCAAGACACCTCTCACGGCAAACGTATGTGCATGTATCCATATGTGGCAGCACGCAAACATGCTCAACCACTCAAAAGCTGTTGGCAGGGCAACAGCCGCATAATCACTTGCAAGCAAGGCTCAGCACGGGAGACGTTCCAAAGACCCTGGGCCACTGCCTCACAGCAAAAGGAAGAACAGCGAGTCCTACCCTGAGAATCACAATCTTGATTTACCGGCATCACTCTCATACTGATCGCTCGGGATGGTAACTTGTTCAATCGCCGCTGTCCTCAGCCGCAGCTCTCGCCACTGGCTCAATTTCCTCATCTGAGGTTCAATGCCTGAAGTTGGATGGCCGTAATGGGGCCAAGTTACCAAGATGGCCATGCTGGCTGGATCGAGCTTGACACGCCCATCGCGGCGGCTTTGCCGAAAGCCACGAAGAGGCGGCGAAGATCTCAAAAAGGATTATAAGTGCTCTTGAGCCGGTTCCAAAACAGTGGAAAGCTGGGGAAGCACTTGTTGAAGGTATTGATGACATCCATCGCACGCTCTCAGAGGTTGAAGGTCTGGGCTTGAGGATTCTCTTTGAAGTCATGGGCTTCAGCTCGCCAGTTTCTCCAAACGAGCATCAGCAGATATCCTAGGTCTCGGATCCTCTCTGCCTCAAACCCCCCCCCCCCCCCCAGACCACCCTTGTCTGCACCAGACCTGTCCTTCAGAAAGGGGCAAGATGATCCGTGAACTTCAGCCCTGGATGAACCAAGTCATGCTCTTGACCTAGCCCAAGGCCCCATGGTGAATCCACAATCTGGTGTTTTTGTTGTTCCAGTTCTTTCGACAGGGCACCAGATGTGATGAGGAATCGGCAAGGATGCGCCACGCGGCCTGCGAGCCCAAACAGAATGCAAGGTGCTGAGCAGGGCATTTTTTCTTTTAGCTGCCTCTGGAATTCCCCATTTCAGGCCTGCTGGCTGGAATATTAAGGCGTTAAGTTCCCAAGCCGTAACGGGGATTGCACTACGATTTGCTGAATTCATGATGGCAACGGCACCACAGCGCACACGCTTGCAGCGCACCTCGATGTATGCAGCCACGCTTCCACAACTTTCTTTGAGTGCGGGCGCTTCCTTTGCAAACCGGACAAGATGCTGCAGTATCCTGATCTCAACTAACTCTTAACTTGTTTAAGGCTGCGCGGAGCCTCTAGACTGTAGACCAACAAAAGCATGTCACACAATCCCATAAACCTTAAATAAGTTCGAGGGCCTACATCTTGCACTATCAGCCTTATAACGTTACCTAGTCAAGTCCAACAAGCTTGACACCTCACGGGATGCCCGAACTCCGTACTCTGACTCTTCGACCCGTTGTAAAGCTCTCACTTTCCCAATGCTGATGTTTCTTGATTTGCAAGGTTTAACTTGCCAAGGCATAGACTTTTGATGACGTTTGGCGCATGCAGTTTAGGCACCTGGTCCCCTGCGGTGATGGTGTAGCCCCAAGCAGCCAAAGCAAATCGGTGGCCTGAAAGCTGCGAGAGTGCTAGGGCAATTGCAGTATTAGTATGTGCTCCTGGTGCAGGGGTTGGCGTTCGAGGTGCTTGAGAAAATTTCTCCCCACGTGGCATTGTGCCTCGTCTATCTTTGGGCCTGAGAACATGGAAGCATTGCTGTTCGGCAAAGGGGGGGTCGAGGGTCGGGCCCCCTATACGCGCACAAGCATTCCTGAAGACCATCAATCGGCCCATTAATGCAGCGACTGGGGAATGGCAGCTTCTGCCCCCAAAGAGGCCACGGCCTCCTTCTCCGAGACGGGCCGCGTCATGCACCTGTAGCAAAGGCGGACAGCGCGTAGCAAAATAGGTCTGCCTGTATTGAAATCAATTCAACTCAATGAAGTTCAGTTCAATTTGATTTCGTTTCATTTCATTTCAATTCACAGACACACACACACAGACAAACAAGTTTGAACTGTAACGCAAGACCCAATCAACATCGCAAGCTCCCACCGCTGAATCTTTCAGGGGGGGCGTTCGTCCTTATGAACCTTCTGCCCCGATGTACCTCCAGCCCCAGGTCTAAGGCCTGCGGGTCGTGTTGGCCGAGGAGGCGCCATGAGGTCTGCGTTTGCCAAGTGCTGTGCTTGGACTGGGAGGGTCGCTTCTAAGTCTTCAGGCTTAAGATGGCTTAAGGACTTCGTAGGCTTTGGGAGAGCTCAGGGGATCAGGGGGTCACCTTGTTGAACCTGTGGAGCAGGAGCTTGGGGGATTTGAACCTGGGGGCTTTGGCAGAACGAGAGCGGTTTCTGCGTTCCTTCTGTGGCTCATTCTGTATCATTCTGTATCATTCTGCACTGTGCATCTCATGCAGACGCTGGATCCCGAGAGACCTTCCTGCAAGTGAAGCCCGCAGGCCAAACACCCTAAAGCAGGGCACCTCTCTCTCGCTCTCTGTCTGCAGCGTCTTTTTTGCTTGTCCTAGATTCCTAGGTCCTAGATTGGACCCAGAACCTCCAGCATCCCCTCAAACCGAAGTAGGGGGAGCAACCTTGTACCTTTCTTGGCTCCTCTGCGGCTCTTTCCTATAGCACTGGGAAACTGTTGAAATCGTTGCAATCATGGAATCGTTGGAGGTTCTTCATGTCCCGCTCTGACGCAGTGAAACCCTCTCACGGAGAGGAAGGCGGCACGGAGGCAAAGTCACCTGGGGCTTGCCAGGCTTGTTGGAAGATTCTCCGTGTAGTTGTATGAAGCACTGAGGTTGTGCTTTGGGCTGAGGTTGAGGTGTGTGGGGTGGGGGCATGGAGTGTAGAGGCCTGGGTCTGGAATCGCCGCCCCACACCCCACACCTCCCCCACACCCTAACAGCCAACAGTGATGAAAGCTCCTGCGCCCCAAACCTCTCAACGCCGAGCCACTGACTAGTGGCCCCTTGGGCCAGGGGTGGATGGTCTCCTGTGCGAGGGGGTTAAGGCGGTTAAGGCATCGGCTTTCAGGGTCCGCAGGCCTGGGCCGGAGACTAAAAGCCCAGAACAAAACAAATCCGGGTGTGGGTTCTCTTCCAGGGACACTCGGCAGGACTCTCTGCATACTTCTCTGGGGCTGGCACTGCGGGACTTTTGACAATTATGGCAAAACGTGTCTTCTCCCATTTTGTTCAGGGTGGCGAAGCCCCCCCCACAAATTCCTGTGAAGTTGAAATTTATGAGCCCGTTATCCTGTAAGGCTGAAATTTAAGAACCCCGTCCCACCTGGCTGGCACGGTGCCCTCACGCACAAGCCTGGCCATTGTGCCCATCGGCCCTTTCTGGTCTTGGGCCTCGCAACGGCCAAGGAAGAGTTCGCCGGAAAGCAGTCGTTCTGGCGTTTTGCGAGTTCACAGCTGACGCGCCTCCTCGAACATGTTTTCGGCTTTGTCCTCAGGACAGGGCAGGCTGACAAGAAGGTTTAGGGCCAAGTATGCTGCGCTTCGAAACCTACTGCCGGGCCTTTCCCACCTCCGAAAAAGCGGCTCCTTTTGGAAATCTCCAAACCGTCCAAAGAGGGTGCACGGTAAAGCAGGTTCAACACTAGTTTAGATGGGAGGGTGAGGGGTGCAACCCTAACCCGCCACCTTCGGTCCAAGTCGCAGCCGCAGCATTGTCTGCGTACTCTAGGTACGCCAGACCTTCGGTCAGTGTTTGAAGGTCGCAATCCTACAGATTGCTGTGGGGTGCCGGGTTTGAAAAAGATTGCAAGGGCTCCCAAGCATGCACTGAGGGCTGGCACTTGCACATTCGCATCCTCCTCAAACTTCCGAAAGTGGGGGGGGGGGGGGGGGGGGGCAACACCTGCCAGATCCTCAAAACCCATCTTTGCCTCCCATCTCTGGACCACCTACGTTGATGTACGGGAATTGAGAAATAGGGAGTGCTGTCAGACTATACCACAGCTCCTGAAGTCAGATGACGCCCGGTGTCCAAACTCTAAAGATCGAATTTCGGCCTTAAGGCGATGTTACAAGCAATATCAAGCAATCAAGGAAGACCGAAACATGGGGAGGACCGACGAAGTTTGCAACCTCAAGAAAGCCACTGGCGAAGTGCCGTTCTTTGTGTTGCCATCTGACCACTGAGAAGCGGCGCTTTAGGGCTTAGGGTTTAGGGTTGATGCCACTACAAACCCGTCGGCAGCGGTGCAACCTGAACCCAAAGCCCCCCTGTGACCAGAGCAGAAGGTAACTGCGGCCAAGATCATCAGCTCGGGGACATGAACCTCGAACAATCCTGCAGGCCCCAGCCCCGAAAAGCACCGAAGACTCCAAAATCGCAAAGGCAGGCCTTTGGCTTTCTGCCGGATCGGATCCTTGGCAGCCCGCTGCAGTTGTGTCACTGAACGGCTGAACCCTGGACCCCCCCCCCCCACCCCAAGCTCTCCTTGGTCCGTGCACAGCCTGAAAAACCTGCAACAGCCGCCCTGGCCAACAGCTCACAGGCATCGCGATGGCAGCTCTGATGCTCAGGGCCAGGCTACGGGGATGTCCAGGACATCCGGCCTGCAGGACAATGCATGATGTGCAGGTTGCGCGCAAGGATTGTTTGTTAGTTTGCATCCTCGTCACCCTTCTCGTTCTCGTCGCAGTCGTTGTTCCCCACTCTGGGTCTGCGGTTTGTAGAACTCAGCTATCCTCCTCGCTCGGGTCTCCTGTACTTTGCCCGAGACACCGGGCCTGGGTCTCCTACTCAGTATCCCTGGACGCCCCGGAAGAGTAGAGTGCCCACCCTCAGACAAAAGAGTTACCCCAATCCCAGGACTCCTTGCCGTGCCCGTTCAAAGTCTGAACGAAAGAAGTATGAAGAACACTATGTAAGCAATAACGAAGAATGAATACACAAAATTGTTCATAATGACAAGTCAACATGTACAAACAAAGAAAGAATTCATAGCAAAACTCAGAACTCTAAAAACAACAAAAACATCAACATACTACTAATTTTCATAATCATAAGTTATTACATCTAAAATAACTAAACCACTGATAATACGCGGGACTATTGACAATTGTGGCAATCCGTGCCTGCTCCCATTTTGTTGGGGGGGGGGGGGGGGGGGGTCGTTCTGCAGCTCTTGGCTTTGCCTCTAAGAATGGGATTCTGTCAGGGCTGCATAGTCTGTTAAGTGTGTTGAGGGCTTTTGGCCGTTTTTTTGGGGGAGGTTGCTAGACAGCAGGAGGGCTTTCCAGGTGTTTGCTGACAAGCCGGACAGCCGTGGAGAATGCAGTACTGTAGGTCTGAATAGGTTTCTCGATGGATTCGCGAAGAGAGGGAACAAACAGATCAATCCGCGTTGGAGCTGCAAACAAAACTCACAGTCATTGTTTGTGCGCTTCGTCCCCCCTCTCCCAATGCCATAGTCATATGGCAAGTAGAGGAAGATTCACAAAAAGCCCGCACCTGTTTGAAGCTGAAAAGGTAGAGATGACGATCACAACTGTGGGGTGGTGGGGTGTGGGGTGTGGGGGGGGGGACCTCGCCTTGGTGCGCCAACTCGCCGGAGGAGAGATCGGATGTGCCCCTGACAGGTTCGGAGGTGATCGAGAAGGGTCGGTGCAGAGCGATAGGCGCGACGTATCACGTGTACATTCTTGAAAGTCGAAACCCCAAGGGCCCATGTACCTATATAGTACATATTAGGGTCCTAAAGCTACCATATGGGAGCCCCTTTAAGCCCCAAGTATATACTATATGGGTACATGGACCCTTAGGGAAAGATCACCTGCCTCAGGCTATCTCAGGCTTGCCAAGGCACAGTGGGGGGACTCGAGTCTCCAGGGCTCTAAGGGATTTGGTTCAGGCGACTTGTGTCTTTGCAAACCTGCGATGTCATCGACAGCTTCTTCAGGTGCCTCGGAGTCGCAGCGGTGACCGGTGCGCTGACTTATGCTCTGTCTTCTGTCTGCATAAAACCCGCGCACGTACCAAAGAAAACTCGGCAAGCCGTGATGGATCTCTCTACTCTTCGTTTGGAAAGGAGGCCTCCAGAAGGTCGGCAGTACCCAGTGTATCCGGCAAGTCTTCCAGGCGGAAGCGATGATGAACAGCGGCCTCGATCGAGCGAACTCGGGGGCCCCCAAATTTCGGGGGGGGGGGGGGGGGGAGAGGGGGGTGCTCTTCACGCTCGAAGTAATTAAACTCCACCCCCCCTTTAAGAAGATGTAGGCCAAGGAAGAGCCCAGAACTCGTCTTGGCTCCCACACTGAGGATCGCCGCCTCCGGATCGGTGCTAGGGATGCCGACACAGGCCGCGGCAGCCTTCACACACTTGGCTCGGAAAAGGAAGAGGCTGTGGGTTGCTTAGTTGTCCAGTACCTAGGGGTTTCAAAGGTTAACCTTTGGGATTTTAAGGGGAATATATTAACCCAAAAAGGTTGAAGGTTACCTACTCTACTACTAAGGTTGAGGTGCTCATAGTAAGAGATGGCACTGGAGTCTATAGAGTCTATAGCCCCGGCCCCGCGATCTTCCGCACGGTGGAGGTCCTTGGGTAACCGCGAGCATGAAGCTTAGACATGGATTTAAATCGGGCGGTGCACGCAGGGTATGTATGAGAGGGATGTGCGTTCTGTGCCCCGGCCCAACCCTCCCAAATCCCAGAACTTCGTGGCAGTTTGGGCCCACTCACGAGGCAGATCTATGAGACACCTGAGACTTTCCTGGTCCTGAAATTGGGGTACCCCCCCCAAACACTTTAGTTCTCACAACCGGAATCCCCAAACCCTGGTAACCCTAGTTTCGGAACCCACACCTCAGCGCTCCCCTGAACTCCAAGCGCCCAGACCGCACTCCGCAAGGTCTTACGCTGCTGCAGCTGCAGCCCAAGTGTCATCAGCGCAGCTCGAGCTGGGACCGTCGATGCCAAGTCCAAAGCCTGGTGGAGCTAATGGATTAAAGAGTTTCCTGCTAGCGTCTTTCCTTGAAGGAGCTGTCTTGAAGTCATGTTGGAGGGATGTCGAGGGGGGGCTTTAGGGTTTAGGGTTTAGGTTTATTGCAGGATTTCGCGACCTTGGGGCTTCTGAGGACAAGGAATGGCAAGAAATCCGAGGCAAAGACTCCGAACTGGGAGTGGTCCGGTCCTGAATTTTTCTGGTGAGGTTTAGAGCAAATCGTCCGATGTGCACTGGCCTGCCAGACTTCGGTGCTTGTGGGTAGGTCGAGCAACAGGATTTCGCAAACATTCAACCCTATACTAACTCCTGCCAGAATCACTTAAGCTAGATTCAACTCGTCTCCCAACAACAATTAACCGATCAGTGCCTCTGCCAGTGCAGTGAAGATTCTTCGGGCTGCTGCTTTGCAGCTGTCCAGAAAATCATTTCAGGTGAGGTCTCGCCTAGGCGAGTCCTTCTGCAGGGATAGACTGCTTCCTTGAAGGCAACAGATGCTCTGTTTTGTGTAGGACTTTTGACTCAAGCAGAAACCACAGTCGGACCTGCAAAAACAGTGCCGAAGCGTTGGTCACAGCCAGATCCCAATGCAATGCTGCCGCACAGCAATTAAGCTTGAGCATCGCCTGGGACTCTGGAACGCTTCAATCAACACACTCCGCAGCCAATCGTGCCTGACTTTGTCTACTCAAGCCATGGTCTTACCAGAGCATTACCGAATTCAACAAGGTTTCAGCAACCATGAAAAAACAGCTCTCCTGTGAGTTATGCCGCAGTCAGCCTCAACTGCAGGTCTGCTCCAGTCTGGCACGACTGGTTCGGGAGGCCAGGGGTTTGACCTCCTGGTGTACTTCGTGAACGTATATGTTGTTGATATCCTGGTTCTTTCGCGGTAAACAGTGACCGATCCCACGCCTAAGACACGCTGGCATTTAGCGTCGGCCCATACCGCGGATCTCTTGCCGAAGGCTTTTCAGCTCAGACTCCATGAACATCGCGAAGCTGCCTGCAAGGGTCTATGCAAGCCTTGAAAAGCCCTTTAGGACTTTAGGGGGCCTTTTTTGGGGCAGTCCGGGCATAGAGCGGGGCAACAAAGTAGATCCTATTTGCCTTTCGATCCGGCCTTGGTTGGAGATCATCCACGTCTGGTCATGGATCAACCTCAGAGAATGCCAATATATGCTAATGATAGCTGCTCATGTATTTCTGGCATGTGCAGAGGGGCTCTGTGGAGGAGCGCCTGGGAAGTTGAAAGCGGAGCAAAAGCACACCAGATGTATGGCCTCGACATGCCCTGCTTGGATCTGGTGCCCGCAAGTCCACCCAAGAATCCCATCACAAGAATGCTATGAGTGGGATTCAGGCGAAGGGTTTCCTCGTCAACCTGGGTTTGTCAATGGCAAGACCTCAATGTCCAAAGCCGCCGTAAAACCTAAAACCTCCTCCATGGCAGCGCAAGAGGCCGACCCACATCCACAGCGCTGGCTTGACCACTGAACCGAAGGCAGCCGTTCAGAAAGTCTTCAGCGCGGACGTGTCCGTCTTCGTCGGTGTCCAAAAGCTTGAAGAATGACCACACATCCCATATCTCAAGCCCCAGGCTTTCAAAGTATCGCTGCATTTCTGGCGCCATCATCGCCTTTTCGAGCCTTGGTCCCAAGAGTCTGCTTGAAACACAAGCTTGGACTCTAGGTCTAGTTGCCTCTGCGTAGCAGAGCGGTCAGTCTGTGCGCTGCATGAGCGTGCCTGCACGAAGGATAAGGTGCATCCCGGCAGCATTGCGTAGGTAACGACGTCGTTTCGTTCATCCCCGAGTTCTGAGAACAGCTGGCGGATCTTTTCCAGGTGTGACTCCTGCGGGCGATGAGGCTTCACATGCTTGCAGCTTAGCAAGTGTTTCACTTTATCACACGTGGGCTATGCCTACAGGTGCAGGAATGCATAAGGTTTCAACAGCACGCGTAGAATTTTTGAAAATGCACAGGCGTGCGTGCACATTCCACAGAACATACATGTAATTATTGACCTGCTTAAGAACCAACTCTCTGCGATCTCCTTGTGCAGTGCCGCATGTCTGCTACCCCAAGGTCAAGCGAAGGTCAAGCGATGGTTTCGGAGGCCGTGCGGAACCCAGCGATGTATAACATTAAGTGCAATGATGTACATCACACACGGCTGTCGGACTGTCAGGAGGAATGTTGTAACATGATGTAGCAAGAGAAAGCGACTTCGTTAAGCAACATGGTCAGCTGGCTTCGCAATGGACTTGTGGCGCCACGCAGACAGGAGAAGTGGGGCTTGGAATCTGTAAATGCTACGCTGCTACACTGTTCCCGCCTTGTGGGCCATGATAGAATGAATCGCGGTGGCATGGTCATTCTGCGCGCTCTCGATTGCGGTTTGACCTTGGGCTCCGAAAAGTGCTCTAATGTCGTGAACAAAAACCTACAAAGCTTTTATTGTGATACACAAGAACAAGTATCTGGTACCTATAGGGTTCATGTCCATGATATGAGGGTGACAGGTTTAGGGCTTCGATGGATGGGGCAGGGCCCCAAGGACCTAAGCTTGCTCCAAGCCACAGAACACAGCCGTCAAGACCTCAGCGCTGCATGACCGGCGGTGTAGGGTTTAGGACGTTTAGGGCGTTTAGGGTGTTTGGGGCGTTTCGACTCTGGCAACTGGCGCGGGCGCTGGCAAGGATCCGGGTCACACGGCATGTTGACAAATGGAAACTCATTGGCCTCCCTAGTTGGAAGTTCAGTGCCCGATCTAAAGCGAAAAGCGAGTCTCGAACATTATGCAAAATTCAACAAAACCCACATTCCCCCCACCTGAGGCCTCAGAACCTTGCCGTTTTTGGGGGTCTGGGACCTGTTTAGGATCTTTTGCTTTCTTTACTGCTGGTGGCGGCAGCCAAAGCTGCTGCTGGGAATTTTGCTTTGCCTTTTTCAAACCAACATCTCGAAAATGCTCTTCTTCCATGCTCCAATGTGCCTCGCAGTGGGATTGAAGCTGTCTCTTCTTGAAATTTCCCTTCTTTGGGATTTACGACCCTTCGCCCGGGTAGTCCGCACCCCAGGCATGCAACAGAAAATGCGTTATACACGGAGAAATAGGACCTTAAATCTGCGGGAGTCTCGGTGGAACTTCCGGAGCCATGAATGGCCACTCGCAATTTTTTCGAGCCAACCTCGCGCCAAACTTCTTGCCCAAGTTCGCACGAACATCGTTTGACCTGAAAGGCTGACGAACCTGGCTTCTCCTTGAGTGTTGTGATACTCTGCAGCCCGGTGCGTCTAGCTAGGCAGGTGCGAAAACAAAGTCTTGCATCCGTGCGAAGCTTTGCGCGCGCGACCTCTCCTCCACACGCCAACCATCGACAAGCATAGTGAATTTCACCATACGGTTCCACTAGCTGGTCAGGGCAATATTATAATTCTTCAGAGAAATTTCGGTTGAGGGTTTCGGGGCGGCGGAAGCTGAGGTCCAGGCGTTGAGGACGGCAAAGTAAATGAACCTATGGCGAGAGTCGCTGTAAGGACATGAATGAGATACTCAAAGCAGATGTCTCTTCATTTATCTCAGCATGTTCGGACATCACCATTCCAGTGTTGTGTGGGAACATGTGCTCTTGTGAAGCCTCCCATATTGGAATCATTCGGAGAAGCATGCAGCTACCAACTCTGTAGCCACTCGAACCATTTCTTACTTGCAACGTTGTGGTGCAAATGGCTCGCTGGAAGCTTCTGAAGACAACCATATCAACCTTGCAAGCCTCTTAATGATCTTAATGGCCTGGTAACCTGACATAGGCCATGCGTGGATCCAATATAACCTCAAGCCAAGGGACGACACGTAAAAAGTGTAGAGTATGCCCCACACCTGCCAGCCAGACTTCGACCATGGACCGTGTGCAGTGCTACTGAAGCCATGTTTCAATCCTTTCGCGAAGGTGCAGCACCCGCTTATAGTGCTTCTCACCACTAGTGTGAAGGAGCTGTGTAATTAGGAGAGCCTGGGGGTTCAGGTTAGGAGCTTCAGGGTCCAAGCAGGGAAGTTTGCGATGCCTTTGATTACTTGTTTCAGGTTGGTGGTTCGGATGTCGAAGTGTATGCGAAGAATTTTGGTTGGCTGTGTGAAGGCGAGGCGCGGGGCCGTCATAGGGGGTGCATCTTCGGGAAAAAGGCGACCTCCCCCCCGGGTTGTTTCTGGAACCCGCCTTTTGAGGTACAAGGCTTGGCTGTCGGTCTGTCCAACGGTTCTCACTTGAAAAAGGCGTTCTACGGCGTTCTACTCGTGAATGTATTTCCTGGCCGCAATACCAGTTTGGCTCTTTGCATGTTGCACATTCAACTCATCCTATGCCATCTCTGAACCCTTATACTTAACCTGGAAACTCTAGGAAAGCAACGATCTAAACCCGCAGATTCGGAACAGACATTTGCAACCGTCTGCGTTGCGCCACAGACGTAGTCATAACTGTCATAACAAGCCTGCCACCCTAAACCCTAAACCCTAAACCCTAAACCCTAAACCCTAAACCCTAAACCCTAAGCCCTTTTGGGCCCGGCCGGTGAGATGGTCCGAAGTGGGGAGATCACAACCTCCCAACTCACGCCGTCGGAGACTGACATGAAGAGACCTGGGAAGTCGCAAGAAAGCCTGAATCAATTAAAAAAACAGAGTGAGTCATAGTGAATCCCGAGCAGAAACGTGCCAGGCTTGTTGCACGCCTGCGAGTTTTCTAGGGGGGTTGGTTTGGCGGGTTTTCGTAGCAGGGATTTTAGCCCCTCTCAAGGATCCTAAGTCTCCTTGCAGCGCCAGGCTGTAAGGCTCTTGTGCTAGTCAGGCATTTGATGAATTGAATGGGAGAGCGGCTTCTTGAAACCGAGCCTATAGGTTTCACTCTCTCTTTCTGCCAAGGCCAGCGTCTGAGCATTGTCTCGACGAGGGAACCAAAATAAACCTCCGCGGCGTTCTG